AGAGAGAAAGAAAGAAAGTTTTAGTTAGTAGAAAGAAAGAAAGAAAGAAATATGGATTAGAAAGAAAGAAAGAATTAGTTAGAAAGAAAGATGGATTTGAAAGAAAGAAAGAATTAATGAGAAAGAGGATTAGTTAGTTAGAAATAAAGATGGATTTGATTAGATAGATAGATAGATAGATAGATAGATTAGATAGATAGATAGATAGATAGATAGATAGATAGATTATTCAAAATAAAGAAAAAGAAAGAAAGAAAGATAAAAGAAAAAAGAAAGAAAGATTAGTTAGAAAGAAATATGGATTTGAAAGAAAGAAAGAAAGGATTAGTAAGAAAGAAATATGAATTTGAAAGAAAGAAAGAAAGAAAGAAAGAAAGAAAGAAAGAAAGAAAGAAAGAAAGAAAGAGAGAAAGAAAGATTAGGTAGAAGAAAGAAAGAAAGAAAGAAAGAAAGAAAGAAAGAAAGAAAGAAAGAAAAAGAAAGAAAGAAAGAAAAATAGATGATAGATAGATGAAAGAAAGAAAGCAATGATTAGTAAGAAAGAAATATGAATTTGAAAGAAAGAAAGAAAGAAATAATTAGTTAGAAAGAAAGATGGATTTGAAAGGATGAAAAAAGAAAGAAAGGATTAGTTAGAAATAAAGAAAGGATTAGTTAGAAAGAAAGAAGGAAAGATATATTGGTTAGAAAGAAAAACAGATAGTATAGTTAGAAAGAAAGAAAGATTATTTAGAAAGAAAGAAAGATAGATAGATCAGTTAGGACGATAGATAGTATAGCTAGAAAGAAAAGATTATTTAGAAAGAAAGATAGTATAGTTAGAAAGAAAGATAGATTATCTAGAAAGAAAGAAAGATAGATTAGATAGAAATATAGATGGATTAGTTAGATAGATAGATAGATAGATAGATAGATAGATAGATAGATAGATAGATAGATAGATAGATAGATAGATAGATAGATAGATAGATAGATAGATACATAGATAGATACACAGATAGATACATACATAGTCTATACATAGATAGATAGATCATTTGGACAC